TTTAGAACATTTCATCATCCCGTAAAGAAACCCCATACTCATTAGCAGGTACTCCCTATTTCTCCTCAGCTCTCCAGTCAGTCCTAAGCAAACACTAACCTACTTTCTGTCCCTAGAGATTTCCCTACACTGGATGTTCCATGTAAATGAAATCCTGTGATATGTGGTCTTTAGGATTAGCTTCTTTCACTTAATGTTTTTAGGGCCTATCCATGTAGTAGCATGTCTCGGTACTCCACACCAATTTATGGCTGAATACAAATCCATGATGTGGAAAAATCACATTTTGTTTTTCCAGTCATGTTGATGAATATTTGGGTTATTTCCACTCTTTGGCAAATATGAATACTTCTGTTGTGACTATTAGTGTATAAGTTTTTGTAGGAGCACATGTTTTCAGTTCTCTGGGAATAAAAGAGAATAATTGTTGGGTCGTATGAGGAACTGCCAAGATGCTTTCCATGGCAGTGGCATCGTTTCCCATTCCCACCAGCAGTAGATACGGGTTCTAATTTCTCCACATACTTGCCAACACCTGTTATTATAGCTATCCCAGAGGGTGTGAAGGACAACTGATTGTGGTTTTAATTTGCATTTCCATAATGACTAAAAATGCTGAGCGTCTTTTCCTGTGCTTATGGGATATTTGTGTCTCTTTGAAGAAATGGCTATTTAAATCCTTTGCCCATTTTTCATTTGGATTATTTGTCTTTATATTGTTGAGCTGTAAGATATATATATATATTCTGAATATAAGACCATATATATATATATATATATATATATATATATATATATATTCTGAATACAAGGCCCTTATCTGAAATGTAATGTGCAAATATTTTCTTCCATTCTGTGGATGTCTTTTCCTAGTGGCCTTGGAGCAAAAAATGTTTTTAATTTTATTGAAGTCAAATTAGTCTATGTTTTCTTTGGTAGCTTGTTCTTTAAGTATTATATATTTTTTCAAAAGAAATTAATTGAAAGTCACAAAGATTTACATCTACTTTTCTCTTTCTTTTTTCTTTTTTTTGAGGTGGAGTCTCACTCTGTCACCCAGGCTGGAGTGTAATGTTGTGGTCTCGGCTCACTGCAACCTCTGCCCCCTCCGGGTGCAAATAATTCTCCCACCTCAGCCTCCCGAGTAGCTGGGACTATAGGTGTGTATCCACACCCGGCTAATTTTTGTATTTTTAGTAGAGAAGGGTTTTCACCATTTTGGCCAGGCTGTTCTCGAACTCCTGACCTCATGATCTGCTTGCCTTGGCCTCCCAAACTGCTGGGATTTCAGGCATGAGCCACTGTGCCCATCATTTTTTCTTGTTATAAATCTATTTCCGATTGTTAGTTCTTCTCAAGTCAGTTTTGGTAATTTTTGTCTTTCTAGAAATTTGTCTGTTTTATCTAAGTTATCAACTTTCTTGGCACACAGTTGCTTATAGTATTTTCTTAAAATTATTTTTTTTTCTGTAAAGTTAGTAGCGATGTCCCTTCTTTCATTCAGAGTAGTAGTTTGAGTCTTTTCTCTTTTATTCTTGGTCAGCCTAAATAAAGTTCATCAACGTTGTTGCTATTTCCAAAGGGACAACTTTGGTTTTGTTGATTTTTGCTATGGATTTTCCACTCTCCAGTTTTTTCGTTTCTGCTGTAATCATTATTATTTCCTTGCTTCTGCTTGATTTAGGTTTTGTATGCTCTTCTATTTTTAGTGTCTTAAGTGAAATGTTAGGTATTCAACTGAGATCTTTTTTCTCTTTTACTATAGATGTTTGTAGGTATAAATTTCTCTCCAAGTGCTACTTTAGCTGTATTCCCTAAGTATTCATTGTCTATTATCTCCAAGTACTCTCTTTTTCTCTTTTAGGAGTTGTTTAGGAGTGTGTTGTTAATTTCCATATATTCGAGAAGTTCTCAGATGTCTTTTGTTATTGATTTCTAATTTGATTCCATTGTTGAATCATCTATTTCTCATTTCAATTCTGCCAGATTTTGCTTCGTGTATTTTAGGGCTCTGTTTTTTAGTATATACATCTTCATAATTGTTCTGCCTTCCTCAACTGACCCTTTTAGTATTATAAATGTCCTTCTTTGTCTCTAGTAACCATTTTTGGTTAATTTTTAAAATTAACCAAATTGTGTTAATTTTTATAACTGACATTATTAGTATATCCACTTCTGCTCTCTCACAGTTGCTGCTTGCGTGATATCTCTTTTTCCGTCCTTTGACTTTCAATCTATTTTTGGCTTTGAATCAGAAATATACCTTTGCAAAGAACATACGATTCGATCATGTTTGTTTGTTTGTTTTATCCAGTCTGACACTCTTTGCCTTTTGAATGGATTATTTTGTAAGTTTATGTTAAATTTTATTATTTACATGGTTGAACTTACATATGCAATTTTCTTCTTCTTTTCTACATGTCTGTGTCTTTTTTTGTTCCTCTCTTCCTCTTCTGCTTTCTTTGCATTAAATCAATATTTCCTTGGGTCTATTTTTTGTTTGGTCACCAAAAAAAAAAAAAGAATATTTTGCAGTGTAATATTTAATTTATTTGACAATTTTTTAGCTGGGAATGGTGGTTCATGCCTATAATCTCAGAACTTTGAGAGGTTGGGGCAGGTGAAACACTGCAGATCAGGAGTTTGAGACTAGTCTGGCCAACATGGCAAAACCCCGTTTCTTCTAAAAATACAGAAAAATTAGCTGGGTGTCATGGAGCACACCTGTAATCAAAGCTACTCAGGAGGCTGAGGCAGGAGAATAGCTTGAAGCCAGGATGCAGAGCTTGTGGTGAGCCAAGATCATGCCACTAGTCTGGGTGACAAATATGTATATATTGCAAGTTTGATAAGCAAAAAACTCCATCTCATTTTCATTTATTCATTTATTTTTTACACAACACACATACACACATGTATATATATATTTTTTATTTCTTTTTTTTTTTTTTTTTTTGAGAAAGAGTCTTGCTCTGTTGCCTAGGCTGGAGTGCAGTGGCATGATCTGGGGTCACTGCAACCTCTTTCTCCCGGGTTTGAGAAATTCTCGTGCCTCAGCCTCCTGAGTAGCTGGGAATATAGGTGTGCGCCACCATGCCCAGCTAAATTTTGTATTTTTGTTAAAGATGGGGTTTCACCATGTTGGCCGGGCTGGTCTTGAACCCCTGGGCTCAAGCAATCCACCCGCCTTAGCCTCCCAAAGTGCTGGGATTACTGACATAAGCCACCATGCCCAGACACACATACACGTTTTTTCGAGTTGAGTTCTTGCCATGTTTTCCAGGCTGGTCTTACTTAAACTTCTGTGCTGAAGCCTTCCTCTCACTTCAGCCCCCCCAGTATGTGCGAGCCATCATGCCTGGCCCATTTCATTCTTATGTTCCAATTTAGGCAGTCTGAGTTGAGAGACATAATTCCAGAAGAGGCATCTGCATATTTGTATTGCTAAATTAATCACAGTTAACACCCCACCATGACTGTGAGATGTGAAATGAAAGGGAGGTGGAAGCTTCCAGAAATGAAGCAAGAAGCTGCCTTCATGTCTTTAGGAGGAGGCCAAAAAAACTACCTAGGGAAATAGTGACACCAATAGTTCTCCTCCCATAAAAGATCACTTTTACTCTTATTTATTTATTTTTATTTAAAAAAAAAATTATCTTTAGAGATGAGGTCCTACTATACGTTGCTGTTGCCCAGGCTGGTCTCAAACTCCTGGGCTCAAGTGGTCCTCCTGCCTTGTCCTTCCAAAGTGCTGGGATTGCAGGAGTGAGCCACCGCACCTGGCCACCCTTTACTGTTTTTTGTTGCTGTTGTTGTTTTGTTTTTGTTTTTTCAAGACGAAGTCTTGCTCTGTCACCTAGGCTTGAGTGCAGTGGCGGGATCTTGGCTCACTGCAACCTCTGCCTACCAAGATTAAGCAGGTCTTACATCTCAGCCTCCCAAGTAGCTGAGGTTACAGACATGTACCACCACGCTCAGCTAATTTTTGTATTTTTAGCAGAGACATGGTTTCACCTTGTTGATCAGGCTGGTCTCAAACTCTGTCCTCAGGTGATTCGCCTGCCTTGGCCTCCCAAAGGTCTGGAATTACAGGCATAAACCACCATGCCTGGCCTACCTTTTACTCTTAAATGAAAATTAGATAATTATATTTTGCCACTAATATATATTTAAAACTTTCTGCTAAACACTAATTATTAAATAGTCTAACAGCATTAAAAGGTACCTAGGAAACATTTATCTCTTTAATAAAATACTTAATATTTTGGTTCTGATATCTTTTTGTTGGTGTGCTTCATGTAACTTTTGTAGTTGGTACAAATATCAAGAATAAAAATCCTGCCAGGCGCAGTGGCTCAAGCCTGTAATCCCAGCACTTCGGGAAGCCGAGGAGGGTGGATCATGAGGTCAAGAGATCGAGACCATCCTGTTCAACATGGTGAAACCCCGTCTCTACTAAAAATACAAAAAATTAGCTGGCCATGGCGGCGCATGCCTGTAATCCCAGCTACTCAGGAGGCTGAGGCAGGAGAATTTCTTGAACCCAGGAGGTGGAGGTTTCAGTGAGCCGAGATGCGCCATTGCACTCCAGCCTGGGTAACAAGAGTGAAACTCAGTCTCAAAAAAAAAAAAAAAAAAAAAAGGAATAAAAATCCCAAATATAAAGAGAAATGATTGAGATTGCTAATGTGGGTCACTGAGCAAATAAAGTTTATTAAGTAAAAAACAATTTAATGTAAAAGTCTCTTTAAAAGCCCAGAGGTCAGGCTCTGTCTCAAAATAAATAAATAAGATAAAATTAAAGCTTAAATTCAGCCCCTTGAAGACACATAGGTGCTGCATTTCTATTGAAAGGTAAGAATGTATAAAGTGCTTTCAGCACTGAAAAACACTGGTAAACTTCCATAGCATTATTTAAAAAAAATTAAGGCATGTGTTCATTGTTGCTCTGGATAGTATTTCTTTGATGTATTTGTTTCTCCCTTGCCTCCCAAATACAGATCTCTCTAGCTAACTTTACCGGATCTATCAGAAGAAGAAGAGGAGTGAAGCAAAGATACCCAACCACCCAAAAGCACTTCATGATGGCAACAGTGTGATTGCTTAGAAGTTCCTATATAAACAGGGAGCATTTGAAGGCATCTGGGATGGTTTATTAGTTTCACAGAATTTTATTCTTCTTGGTTTCTCTTGAGAGGGAAAATAACAAAAATTCAAAGGGATTCCAATCTGAAGCCCAAATTATTGGCCTACCTACCAAAAACATCTCATCTTTTCCTGCACATTATTATTCTCTTATGGATTAAAAGGCAAAAACCTTTTAGTGTCTTAGAATTCTTTCATGATAAAAAGTGCAAGAATTTAAAATGTTCCTTTTATACTCCTATAATTCTCCCAAAGTATTAACTTTGTATATGTTTCAGTAATTTTCTAAAAACTGCTCAATCTGAAAATGATTTCATTGACCATTTGGCTTTGTACAATAAGGAGAAAATGATTGATTCATTGATTACATATAGAGAAAGACTAAGAAAAGCCATTAATTGCTACCAATTTTATGATAGGCTTTAATGTTTATGAAAATATGCTTCTTTGATTTAATGAGTAATGTTGTTCATTTGTAGTTAAAAGAAAGCATGAAATCCTACTTGTAGTTCATTTTATGTTAAAATAAAACCATTTTTTGTTTTCGTTTTTGTCTGAGACAGAGTTTCACTCTGTTTTTTGCCCAGACTGGAGTGAAGTGGCACTCTCTTGGCCCACCGTAACCTGCACCTCCCGGGTTCAAGAGATTCTCATGTATCAACCTCCCAAATACAGGCTGAGATTGCAAGTGTGCACCACCACATCCAGCTAATTTTTGTATTTTTTGTAGAGATGGGGTTTCACCCTCTTGCCCAGGCTGGTCTTGAACTCATATCGGAACCATTCATTTTTGAACCTTTCTCATCATGTAATTATAAGGAGCCAATGTTTGATTTTTCTTTTAAGTTTTGCTGTATCTTTTATTATTTTGTATAGATAATTCCTTAAAAAGGCTTACTTAAAGTTGACATCTAAAATACAGTTATGCCAATGATGTCCAATTCAGGGTGATATCTGTATCTAAAAGATGCGAGCTCATCATCCTAACAGGTTTTGTCTTGATGCTGTTCATCCTGAGATGCTGAGTTGTGGAAATACAACATCAGAAGGAATTAGGGATGTAATTACTCAAAAAGGAAACTATCCTGTCTAAATTTGAATTTTGTTGATAACTAGGTGTTCCCAGATGTAAAGCAAGCTCTTAATCTGTATTTATTGAAGGATTTTTTTTTTTTTTTTTTTTTTTTTTTTTTTGAGACAAGATCTGGCTCTATTGCCCAGGCTAAAGTGTAGTGACATATTCTAGGCCAGGTGTCCCCAAACTTTTTACACAGGGGGCCAGTTCACTGTCCCTCAGACCGTTGCAGGGCCGCCACATACTGTGCTCCTCTCACTGACCACCAATGAAAGAGGTGCCCCTTCCTGAAGTGCGGCGGGGGGCCGGATAAATGGCCTCAGGGGGCCACATGCAGCCCGCAGGGCCCGTAGTTTGGGGACGCCTGTTCTAGGCTAAGTGCAACCCCCACCTCCCTGGCTCAACCAATCCTTCCACCGCAGCCTCCCGAGTACCTGGGACTAAGGCACTCACAACCACACCTGGCTAATTTTTGTATTTTTTGTAGAGACAAGGTTTTGCCATGTTGACAGGCTGGTCTTGAACTCAGGCTGGTGAGCTCAAGTGATCTGCCTCCTTGGCCTCCCAAAATGTTGGGATTACAGGCATGTGCCACAAGTTCATCTCTTGAATAGAAGTTTTACTTTGTAAACATTATAGAGTAGAAGAAACCATAAACTGTTAACCCTCATTTTCCTAAAATAAAAGGTTGGGGTTAATACAGATGTAATTTTAAATAGGAAATCTGACAACACTGTGCAGTTTGTCTCCCTTTCAAAGCTTATTAAAAGCATCTTTGCGGATGAATGGTACTTTCCACAAGTGCATTTGACTAGAAACATGGGCTATTCTCAATTATATTTATGTTTAAAATATGTACTTGCTTGTATATTTTGTACTAAAAAAGCCTTTATACGGTCAAGATATATCTCGTTCAATAGAAGTCTAAACTCTTTCAAGTGCAAATGTGCACATTCACTTAAAAGTTACAAATCAGTTTTACCATTGTAAAGTAATGAAATGGTTATACATTTCTTAATTGTGCAATAAAGCACTCAGTGATTTGAATGTCTATTGTCCTTACTTTGCATAAGAAATGTTCAGTGTTGAGTATAACCCAGTAGAAACGCTCCTGATACCTGTCTCTTTCTCCAGTGTTTATTGCTATTAATTGAGGCATTTAAGAAGGAATAGCCTTGATCCATCCCTTACCACTGCAGATCTTTTACATAATTCAACGTTATCATGACAAGGGCAAAGTTTCTCCCAACCAACGTCTACCAAACTCAATAACCAGCGCACATATGCTTGTTGACATACCGGAACAGATCCTTGACAAAGAGCTAACTTTTATTCACTGAGAGGCAAATGAGACCAGAGGGGGGCCCAATCTGTGTTCTTTAAACATTTTGAGCCAGTATTTTAAAAATACTTTTTCTTTTCTTTCTTCTTCTTTTTTTTTTTTTTTTTTTTTTGAGAGAGAGTCTCACTCTGTCACCCAGGCTGGAGTGCAGTGGCATGCTTCCAGCTCACTGCAACCTCCACCTCCCAGGTTCAAGCAATTCTGGTGCCTCAACTTCCTCAGTAGCTGGGAATACAGGTGCCTGCCACCAACGCCCAGCTAACTTTTGTATTTTTAGTAGAGACAGGGTTTCACCACATTGGCCACGCTGGTCTCAAATTTCTAACCTTAGGTGATCTGCCTGCCTCGGCCTTCCAAAATGCTAGGATTACAGGCCTGAGCAACAGCACTCAGCTTAATTACTTTTATATTAAAAGTTCTTTGTAATTTCCAACATTTTCAAAACACAAAGGCAGATACTTTTTACATAGCTTAGTCATGATAGTTAAGGGGATCAGTAGTAATGGTGCCACCCCAATTCGGATCCCAGAGGTGAGTCAGTGAGCAGACCAGCTGGAGGGTGGTGGACCAAAGAAAATTGTAAAGGCTGGTCCCTTTTTTCATGTTTTGACCCTCTCCTCCCCTCCCTTTTTTTGTTGTTGAGATGGAGTCTCACTCTATTGCCAGGCTGGAGTGCAGTGGAGCGATCCTGGCTCAATGTAACCTCGGTTTTCTGGTTTCAAGCAATTCTGCCGCAGCTTCCCATTTAGCTGGGACTACAGGCACACACCGCTACGTCTGGCTAATTTTTTTTTTTCACTTTTAGTAGAGATGGGGTTTCACCATGTTGGCCAGAATGGTCTCAATCTCTTCCCCTCGTGATTTGTTCACCTCGGTCTCACAACGTGCTGGGATTACAGGCGTGAGCCACTGCGCCTGGCCATTTTGGCCTCCTTACAGCTTCCTTTGAAGAACAGAAATTATTTTTTTGCCGTACATTTGATCTGAAGGAAAAGGAAGTGAAGTAAGTGAAGTGTTTGGTCCCATCCTGAATCATTTTCTCCCCCTTTCTCAGGGACAATACTAGAACAAGTGAGCACAAAACTGAAGACCATGCCAAAAATCTCAGCAACCAAGATAATATTTTAACTCCATTTTTGAAAACAATAAAAATTAACACCCACAAAAATACATGATGGAAAAAATATCAAAATTATAAAGACAGATGTCAGCAGTGAGTGTGGCGGCTCACAACCAGTAATCCCAGCACTTTGGTAATCTAAGGCAAAAGGATTGCTTAAAGCCAGTAATTGGAGCCCAGCCTCTGCAACATAGCAAGTCTTCGTCTCTAAATCAAAAAAATTAGCCAGGCATGGTGGTGCATAACTGTCATCTAAACTACTGAGGAGGCTGAAGTGGGAGAATCACTGGAGCCTAGGAGTTGAAGGCTGGAGTCAGTTATTACATTCTAGCCTGGGCAATAGAAAGACCCTGTTGAAAGAAAGAGAAAGGGTCGGGCACTGTGGCTCATGCCTGGAATCCCAGCACTTTCGGAGGCCGAGGTGGGTAGATTACTTGAGGTCAGGAGTTCAAGACCAGACTGGCCAACATGGTGAAATGCCATTTCTACTAAAAATACAAAAATTAGCCAGGCGTAGTGGCCCATACCTGCAGTTCCAGCTACTCGGGAGGCTGAGGCAGGAGAATCTCTTGAACCCAGGAGGATGATGTTGTAGTGAGCCAAGATCGTGCCACTGCACTCTGACCTGGGCAACAGAGCAAGACTGTCTCAAAAAAAAAAAAAAAAAAAAAAAAAAAAAAGGAAGAGAAAGGCAAGGCGAGGCAGCAGGAAGAAAGAAAGGAAATTAGTTTAACTATGTTAGAGCCTTTGGCAAAAGGAAAAAGGAAAAATCACTAATTCAAATCCCATCAGTAACAAGAGCCTTGTCTAGGCATATTGGGGCCTGAACTTCAGCCCTGTTTCCTCCTTTCATTCTCACTTCCCAAAATGACCTCACTCCCCAAACTCCACGTCTATAGCCCATTTCCCATTCTTGGCTTCCACTTGCCAAAGTGTTCATGGAAAGAATACCAGGTTCTAGCCCTGGCTTCTTTAACATCTAAGCTCTCAATTCACTATAAATCATATTATTGGATTTCAAGGAGTAAGACGGATCAAGTGAGGTTGCTGATTTGAGGCTCTGGCCCCTGTCAACTGCTCTGCAGAAAAGTGCCATTAACACCATCTAGAAGTCAGCCATCTGATTGTACAATAAGAATTCACAAGGAGTATCCACACCATCTCCTGATTCTGAACACTTGGAATTACTACAACACTCACTGTTTTTGTAAGTGTTCTCTTAATACCTCATGTCAACTTGGTTTTGTGGAACTTGCCATGTAAGTGACTTTATAATAGTCTTCAGGCGGCATGCAGTGGCTCGTGCCTGTAATCCGGCACTTTGGGAGGCTGAGACAGGAAGATAGCTTGAGTCCAGGAGTTTGAGACAAGCTTGGGCAACACAGCAAGACCTTATCTCTTCAAAAAAACAGAAAAAATTAGCCAGGTGTGGTGACACACACCTGTGGTCCCAAACTACTGGGAGTTCAAGGCTGCAGTGAGCCATAATTGTGCCACTGCACTCCAGCCTGAGAGACAGAGCAACATCCTGTCTCAAAAAAAAAAAAAAAAGTCTTCAAAAGGTGAGAGTAGAAGAGTATTGTGGGTCATGCTGATGTGGGAGTGACTAAGCATGGGAGGGACGTGAGAGGCGGTGGTGCCATCTTGAGAGTGGCAAAGGTGAGGTCCCCATGTTGATGTGGTCCAGTGGGCCCTGGGCATGGGCACAGCTTCTTTTGGGGTTCTTAGAACTCATAGTGAACATAGAGGACCTACATCCTGGGGTGGGTGAATGAATGGTAGGTATCTTGGCCATGGGGCATCTCAGCAGGCCCTGAGCTGCCTTGAGATGGGACTTGTGGGCAGGGCTATATTGGCAGACATTTTAGGAAGGTTGAAAATTTTGACCTCTGGCCACTCTGTTGGAAAATGTTCCTCTTTCCACACCCCAGGAGTAAGTATAAGTCTTGTTGAATCCAGTTCAGAGAGGCTTTATGGCCAGTAAGGAGCCCTAGAAGCTGCTATTGGGCTTAGGGAGTGGAATTAAGGATGAGTGAACTTCCTGGGATAAAAGAGGAGGTCTTGTCAAGGCTGGGGATGGCACTCCCCAGGAAAAGGGAACGGGCAGTCCTGCCCTAGGAGTCTTGAGCACCCATCTGCCTTCCTGACTAGCTGCATTCTTGCTCTGATTTCCTTGGTTAGTCGCTCCTTCCACCAAGATTGTTCTTCTTGGGTGTTAGACTAATTTTGGTGATGTCTCAAATGACAGTCACACCAAGCAGAGGCACGATAGCCTACACTTGGTTGTTGATGGGCGTGTGTCCAAGGAGGCACACCCAGAGGCAAGCCAGTGTGTTGCTCTGGTCACGTGACAGCTCTGCAGTCCTGGGGCTGTGATTTGAGGGTTGTTGAGAGTGGGTAAAATTTGACGCTGCTGCTACTGCCTTGGCCCTACATGGCACAGGTGGCCAACTGAGCAGTTCTGGGCTCTCCCGCTGACTCTGTGGCTTTGGCCTGTTAACCTCATCAAGGCCCAGTTTCCTCCTCTTTAAAATGGGATATGAACAGTTTGTAAAGTGTGTAGAGGCCAGGTGCAGTGGCTCACACTTGTAATCCCAGCATTTTGGGAGGCCGAGGTGGGTGGATCATCTG